ACGACTACAGGCCAGTGGCACTCACCCCAATCATTATGAAGTGCTTTGAGAGAGTGGTGCTGGCCCACATTCAGAGCAGTATACCGGACACCCTGGGCCACATGCAATATGTCTTCCGGCCCAACAGGGCCACCTCAGACGCCATCGTGGCTGCTCTCCCCTATTCCCTTTCTCACCTGGAAAATGGAGACTCCTACATCAGGATACTCTTCATTGATTACAGCTCCGCCTTCAACACAGTTATCCTCCACAAACTGTCCACACTTGGTCTGCACCCCACCCTCTGTGACTGGCTCCTGGACTTTGACTGGCAGACCCCAGACTGTCATGATTGGCAATAGGACTTCAGCCAGCATTATCACAAACATCGGCACCCCACAGGGATGTGTCCTCAGTCCCGTCCTCTACACCCTGTTCACCCACAACTGTGTCGCCTCCCACAAAGACAACATCATCCTAAAGTTCGTGGACAACACTGCAGTGATAGGTCACATCACTGGCAGGGACAAAGCAGCCTACAGGAGGGAGGTGGCTGGTCTGGTGTCATGGTGCAAGGACAATAATCTCAGCCTCAACACAGACAAGACGAAGGAGATAATAGTGGACATGAGGAAGGAGAGGAGATCTCATCGACCACTGCTCATCCGGGGGCTCGAAGTGGAGAGGGTGAGCAGCTTCAAATACCTGGGTGTCCACATCAGTGAGGACCTCACATGGACACATAACACTACACAGCTGGTCAAGAAGGCCCAATGGCGGCTGTACTTCCTGAGGAGGCTGAGGAGGTTTGGCATGTCACCTAGGATCCTTTTCAACTTCTACAGCTGCATCATTGAGAGCATCTTGACCAGCTGCATCACTGTCTGGTATGGCAGCACTACTGCTATGGACCGCAAGCGCCTGCAGAGAGTGGTAAAGACTGTGGAGAAGATCACTAGGACTCCACTGCCCTCTCTGCAGAGCATTTACCACCGCAGGGTGCGTAGGAAAGCTGCCTCCATCCTCAAGGACCTCACCCCTCCCCTCATACCCCTACCCTCCGGTCGGAGGCTCACAAGTGTGAAATACAGAACCTCTACATTAAAAAACTCTTTGCTGCTTTAAAGTGCCTTAGATTTGTGATTTTACTACCTATTTAGATGTGTTATTGCTCATCTGCTTTATATTTCATTTGTATTGTGTGGCATTCATGTGGACGGCAAAGTAAGAATTTCATTGTACAGGGAAACACGTTTCCTAACTGTGCATATAACAAACAAACACTTTGACCTTTGACCTTGATGCACGGAAAGATCTGCATCTTGGATTTTGAAGTTGGGGTTGGTGAAGTTCACACTGAAGTCAGAAATCTGACTTCAGAGGATGTTCCAGCTGAAATTTCCAACTGGGAACTTGGAAATACCGACTTCCAAACTCAACTGGAATGCACCATAGGGTCACGTGAGAGCTGGCTTCATTTCCCTGAGTGCTGAGCTCCTGACTGTGCTTCTCCCCTAATTCAGTACAATAAAATAACCTTTAACAAATCATTTAGTTGCAATAACAAACTAAAAATACATAAATAAAAATTTTTTTAAAAATTACCAATTAACCCTGTAAAGCTTAACACATCAAAAACTAGCCAGAACAGTCAACTTTTTTGGACATGAGATGTTTATTAAACCTTTTAACAAAATCCAAAAGAAAATTCAATATTCAAAATCCAAGATTTTTATTTGCCATGTATGCATAGACAGACATTTCAGGCATATAGAAATAAATGTGCCATATTATTTAGAATATTTTTATTTTGTTTGTATCACATTTGATAACATGGGGCATTTTTGGCGATCTGCTCAGAAGCTTGCATATCAAATATACAAATGGCTTTATAGGGTTTTAAGTTAATAATCAAACAACATTTGTTGAAATCTGAGACACTAAAAGTACACACCAACAATTTGTCAACATACCTGTTATAAATGAATAATTCCTATTTATGTTTTAAACACAGAAAATGCAATTAACAAAAGCTGGCACACATTAACACAAAATAGGTCAAATAACTGTCTAGGTGTCTGCATAGTGTTTTGGCTCTGTAGGTTTGTGAGTGCAGATGTACAACAACAGTTCAATAAAAACAAAAAGGCTACACAAACAGAACAACACTTCTGACATATGAAACTCAAGTAATGACAGGTTAGTAAATCTAATAATGTTCTTTTATCACTGTAATAAAAATATTTTTAATACATTTTAACAAATATTGCTCTTGGATATAGAAAATAAAGACTCCAGCTGCAGTACATTGAACTGTGAGGACACTTTTCTTTTGTAGCGGTAAGCTCTGACCTTTGTTTTGTAAAAAATATCAGAGTTAATTTACCTAAATGTAAAAAATAAAACATTTTCTAGAGCTGCAATGATTAGTCACTTAACTGATTAGTCACAAAAAATGCCCAAATTCCACAGGCTGTAGCTTCCCAAATGTGAGGATGTGATGATTTTCTTTGTCATACCTGATAGTAAAGTGAATATCTCTAGGCTTGGGATTGCTGGTTGAATAAAAAGACAACCTGAACACAGCAGCTTTGGCTGAGGGAAGTTATTTTTTCTCTGTTTTGATTGAACCATAATTGATTAATTGTCAAAATGATAAGCAGATTTATTGCTAACAAAAAAGAATTGTCATCTGCAGCCTTAATAATGTCGCAGAGTCTCCAAAGGCTCTCTTCATTTCAAAATCAGCAGTCTACTCCTTCAACATTCTTGAAACATACACCAGCTGCTATGAAATTTTACAAAGTAACCAGGGCACAAAGCCAGATGGCACAAATGTATTTGTGTTTTTTTGTGTGAATACAACATAATTCACTGGTAACATTGTACTATAAGCACATATTTCCACATCTGTAACATTTTGAAGCTGAATTATTACCAGCAATGCATGAAGGCCACTCTGACCATCATTTAATCATTTATTATAATCTCATGCTTGTACAAAATCAGCATTTAAGAAACATGACTAAATGATACTTGATATCACCATATTTTTTTAGCTGCAACAGGATTTTTCTATAGGATTGGGCAAACATTACTGACATATTACAGTAAAACAACCTTGGATGTTTGGCTTTTAGCTGCACATACACATGTTTGCCATTAGGTGGCTGCCTGGTGGTGTGGTGAAGGACTGTCCACTGTTGTGCCTTGTTATCCATTTCTTTTCTTCTAGCATTTATTGTGGAAATCTTTCATATCCCATTTTTAACAATTAAGTAAGAAACTGACTTAAATAACTTAAAATGTTGACTGTTTTCCTGTGAGCTCAATGGATTAATGCCTTAAAATGTGTTAGGGTTTGCCTAAACTATGTACAGTATATGCAGCATGTTAACACAAACTGCTCTTTCCTTGTATAATTTCACTGATCATTTTTAGCTATTTTCTATATCTATTAGAACTTTAACTTCCTTTTTATTTGTCTGTTAATCTGAATGAGGATTACATTTGACTGGGGATGGGTTCCCATAAATGATTCTGGCTCCGGACCCGGTACCAGAATCATAGTCCACAAAGCCATTACTGAATCTTAGATTAGATTTGGTAAACTTGAGGAGGACGAGAGGTTGGCTTCAGTACACTGCTGTATTATACCGTGTTGTGTGAGTCCTAGGATTCTGTGCAGCAGTGAGCTTCTTCACCTTCATGTCACATTAAGGGCATCCTGCAGAAAAAGTAATGATTGTTGTGTTGTGTTGTCTTACTTATGCAGCTGCAGCACAGCTTCCCAGTGATGGGCAATCCTCATTTTCATCAGATTGAGGAAATGGGAAAACCAGTGTGGACAGAGTTAATGTCACAGAGCAGTGACTAAAAGTGTGGTGAAAGACCTCTGCTCTTTCAGCCCAGTAGAACCTCTGTGGTTTAGATTTGATACTGAGGGAACTAAATAGTTATCATCTTTTCCCACCAAACAAACTATTTTAAGGGATGAAACTGGTGAATTTTTTTTTTCCCGTTTTTTTCCTCAACACATACAGGAACTAAATCCAGAGCAGAAATCCCAAGCATGCACAGCTGACTCGTTCTCACTTCAGAGATTGTAAAAAGTGATGGTCATTCTCAGCCTACATGCCGTTTGTGAAGAGGAAACATGTCACTCTGTTCAACCTTGTGACTCACTGGTGTGTTTTTAATAGTTTTTGAACAACAGTGGAGGTCTGCACAGACGAATAAGCTAAACCAGGTTTTGGATTCACAGCCATAAAACTCATTGCTGGTCTGAGATTTGTGAAAACAAGCAAAAAATAAAAATCACCGGCCTTATCCTTTAAGAGATAAGATAAAGAATTAGATAAGTGAATTTAACACTGGATTCAGATTCCACAGATTGCAATGAACCACATCCCCACATTTGGATCCTCTTTCTATTGGATGACAGAGCATCATCTCATTTATCCGTTCTCTCTCTCTCCCTCTGTCTCTCTCTCTTCTTTGCTCTCTGGCTCATGACTCTTGGAAAGCTCTGTTTCAGAGGAGAGTCTAACTGGTCCTGATCCGCCCTAAGAGTTCCGCTGCTGTACAAACACTTTGGTTCAGGACTTGTGGATCAAAGAGAAGCCAGGCCCCATGTTTGGATTTGCGAGCGTCTCAGATATGCTGAATCCAGCGCTTTGAAAATCACCAAGCAGTACAGGGCTGAACTTTCAGAGAGACTTGAATAAGCAGTGCATCAGCAGAAAAAGTGTGGAGAGGAGAGAGACGAGGACACTGAGGGGAGGGGGGCTCGGCTTTAAAAAGTTAATTATACCAACTAAGTGTAGCTCTGCTACATTTTTTTCTTTTAAGAGTTACAGACACCAGGATCATCCTGCGCTGACGCGGCTGGTCGGCAGGAAGCGGCTGGGGGGGGCGGGGGTCCTGGGGGTCGTTATGGTTCTGGTGCTGGTCATCCTCATCCCAGTTCTGGTAAACTCAGCGGGAACAGCGGCGCACTACGAGATGCTCGGTACCTGTCGGATGGTGTGCGACCCGTACGGCACCAAATCTCCCACCAGCACCGCCACAGCGGACACGGTCCGAGACAACAGCCTGGTGCATTCTTTACCCACATTTATCCAAGGTCCGAAAGGCGAACCGGGACGGCCGGGTAAGGCAGGTCCAAGGGGACCTCCCGGTGAGCCTGGACCACCTGGCCCAATGGGGCCGCCAGGAGAGAAAGGTGAACCGGGTAGACCTGGTTTGCCAGGACCTCCGGGATCCAGCGCAGCTGCCGGTGCAATTAGCGCGGCCACCTACAGCACCGTGCCCAAGATCGCCTTTTACGCAGGGCTGAAAAAGCAACACGAGGGCTACGAGGTGCTCAAGTTTGACGACGTCGTCACCAACTTGGGAAACCACTATGATCCGACCACCGGGAAGTTCACGTGTTCCATCCCCGGGATTTATTTCTTCATTTACCACGTCCTGATGCGCGGAGGAGACGGCACTAGCATGTGGGCTGATCTGTGCAAAAACAACCAGGTAACACAAACTCCAATTGTAGTAGCACACATTCACGACACAGTTTAACGCTTTCCACCCCAGTTAATCTCCATATAGCAGCTGTTATTATTAATGCCAAAGCACCATAAAATAGGACAACATCTAGAGGTGTCACTCAGCAGATTAGGCAGCAGGTGTAAGACTGATCTAACAACACAGTGACAAACGGGAGTCTGTCCGTGCGTTGGTGGACACAAACATTTGTACAAGGGGCTGGTACCAAAAAGGGGGGAATGAGAAACATAAGATGTAAAGCCTGCTCAATGAACTATATGGGCTGATGGGGTAAATGGGACACAGAGTGGTAGCCTAGTTACTTCTGTGATAGTAGGAATATCCTCCTGTCACTGAGTAGAAGTTTGAACATCCTGAGTCCCGATAGTTGTCTAAATGTTAGACTAGTTCCGCTGAACTGCCTGTCGACCTGTAAGCTGAATTCCTCAGGACAGCTGTGCTACCAGGGCCCATTGGGCAATTGTACCTTTGATATATGATCTTCATTTAATCTGATTTCTTTGGAACTGTTTGCAACTTTCATTAAATCAAAACAAGAGTGGAGTGGCAATTTCTCTGTGAACTCAGGAGGTTTAAATGAACATTTCTCCGTCTTTTCCTTCTTCTTCTCACCCAGTAATCGCAGTGAATATATATTTTAGGTAAACTAGCAACAGCACATTGTACAAATATTCAAAACTGTAAATGTCTTCATACGTCATTGTACCTAACAGGTTTCTATTCTAAAGAATACATTACTCTGTTTTTTACTATATCATTTATTTTATTTAGAATGTGTTTATTGTGTATATTACAGTATATATTAACCCATTTTCTGTTCTACTTATTCTTTACTCATGTATATATGTATATATTTCATTTACTTATAATCTATATCTGCTACTGTAACCAGAATCTCCCTTTTCTGGATTATTGAAGATATTTATTTATCTATGTATGACATTCAAATCAAATTCAATAAATTAAAAATGAATATATAGTTTAGATAAATATACATTTTGCAGTCACTCTGTAGTAAACTCCAAATGTTACTGTAGCATTCCACTAAGGTTCCTGTGTGCCAGCTTCATTCCAATTTGATTGGTTAGTTTTTGGAATATACCTGAAAATAACATTATGTTATGTTTATTTCAATTTAATGAGAAAAAAAATGCTTGTTTTGCTTTTGAGATACTTCTACACATCTGTTCGTTTGTGATTTTCACAACATTTTCTGTAACAACAAATAGTTTCCTGCATGTTATGGGACAGTTACCAAATGTAAAGTACAATAATTCTTTTCAACTACTGCAAAAGCAAAATCAAACAAATAAACAAAACCAAAATAATACAATACTATATTCTACATTCACTGTTACAACTATAACTAATGACTAATAAAAAATGATAATAATGATAACGATGCAAAAATAATGCCTAAGGACCTTGAAAGTCCCTTTGCTGCCTGGTGTCTCCTCTGCAGTGTTTGTTCCATCACTGTCCTGCTCTCTGTGCATCTCTGTAGTGATCAGGCTGTCAGCAGCAGATCTAATCTCGGGGGCAAACCAGGGTTGCAGTGTCGCTCCACCAAGCACATCCCTCCTGCCTGTCAGCCTGCTGCTGTAATGCTGCTGCAGACCGCGCCAAACACAGCAAACATGTTTGGGATTAACCCAGCAGAGCTTCATGCCATGACAAATCAGATGCTGAAAGACATGTTTCAATTGGGACTAATGCTGAGAGACTTGACATCAAAAAACACAGTTCTGTGTAAATGATCAACACACACTGAGACTGCCCATTGCCTTGATTTACAATCCATTCATTTGGTTTAACTGAAATAAGTCACCTCTATTTACTCAAACAATTGTCTGAGTTCTAACAATAATTTGTTTTTATTTATTTCAATCATTTTATAAAATCGCTATCATTTGAGTCATTTCTAGATCAGCAATCAACTGCATTTTATGTTGTTTCAAATACAGACACATTACACCCATCAGCATAGTTTTCACCTGTTTTCCAAAAAGTGCATCATGAAACATCACATGCATTGGAAACAGAGATAATATTTTAGAGTGCAAACACTGGGAAAGACGTTTATAACAACCTCTGGAGACTTCTGCCAGTCAATTCAGTGTATATAAATATTTCAGTCCATACTGTTAGGTGTGGCAGAAGGACAGAAGTTATTTCATATAAGGCTTTTTTTTTTAGGAAGATCTATTAGCTCCTATGTAAGTATAATCAATAACAACAATAGCAGTGGTCCACACCTAAAAAGCCCCTAAGATTAATTGTGTCCTTGTTGAAGTCTGTGGAATAATGCAGAGGCATCTTGTGCCAAGTCTGAAGTTTGTGTGGGACCATAATGCCAGACACAACTTCACATTACTGCAGTAGTCTGTAGGGTCGCTCATTATCAGGCCCTTTTTCTTGAAATTCCTAGAGTACCAGGTAGAGAATGCAAATGAGTTGTCTGCATGAAAAGTAGCTTAGAGGCACTTCCTCATCAGGAAAAAAGTTTCATAGATAAAACTAGAGATAGCAGAGTGAAAGTGTGAATATGCATGCACTCTAATAATCTGATGTTAACTTGGTTGAGATAAAAGTTATCACATACAACTGTTGATAGATCTGACAGTTAACTGCCTCTATTAAGTGAGATTATAAAAATGCAAGTTTCTCTCGAAGTTATAGTGACTGCTCTACTACAACTGTAAAACAAAAATAGTTTGTCATCCTTAACCAGTAGAATAAAAGATAATAACTACATACTTTCTGATATATGGAAAAAGAAAGAAAGTATTCAGCAATATTAATACTGAAATATTCATGTAATCAGAACAAAACCAAACTAAAAATATGGAAGAATAAAAATGTGTTCTGAACACTTAAAAGGAGAGACATTGACACTATGAACACAAGGCAATGAGAAGCAAGGAAGAGGCTGGGAGTCCTGGAGGATACAGATCTAGATTCAAAAAATCTGGAATGAGGCACCAACACCAGGAGGAGAGATAGAGAGAGGTCCCAGGATGCCTGATGCTCCAGCACAGAAAGCCTGAGTGAAAGAGACGACAAGAGAGAGAGAGAGGTACACAGCTGGGACGCTCGTGTTCAAAAGAACAAACTAACAAGGTTAGAGAGATGCGGTGGTTTTGAAAAACATCTGCACTAATCCCCTCGGCAGGAAAACATGGACTAGACTGTACATAACTAGGTTTGAACTGAGACTGGGACTAAATCGCTGGAGGGAGACCAGTAACAGGTACAAGGTCTGGCATAATCAAATAATAAGCCACTTACAGAACAGATGAGTTTTAAGTTTGGATTGAAATGCCTCTACAGAGGTAAAGTGTCTGATATCAGCAGGGAAGTTATTCCAGAAGAAGGGGACACACTAATCTGCAGACTTCACTGTAACTCTCATGACAGACAGGAGCCATGCATTCTCACAGTGGAGAGCACAGAATAAGGTTTGAGGAGATCAGACAGGTATAAACAGTGATGCCCATTTACGTTTTTATATGTCGTTGGAAACACCTTAAAGTCTTATGTGACCTGGATAGGAATGAAGGGACACTAAAACTAGTGCACTATGGTCAGATTTTATTAGTTAAAATTCTAGCTGCATCATTCTGAACCATCTGAAGACTTTTATTACTCGTATGTGGCAGGCCTGAGGACAAAACATGCTAATAATTGAGGCTGGATGACATACAAGGAGTTCTCTGCATGTGCCATGGGTAGAAAAGACTGAATTTTAGTTAACATTACAAGGGTGAAAAAAGGTGGAGACATCCTGAATGTGCTGATCAAAAGAGAGGGTAGGATCAAATGTAACTCCAAGATTCTTGGCTGTTGGACTTTGAGAAATCACACAGCTGTAGAGAGTGACTGTTCACTGATCAAACTGTTGTCTCTCACTTTTATCTGAATTGAGCAGGACATTTTGTGACATTCAGCTTTGAAAAGCTGTGAACAGCAGACAAACAAGCCTCTAATTTTATAATTTGAGAAGGACCATCTGCTTTTACAGTCACTGTCGTAGGAGTGGAAATGATTTCCATGACTGTGTGTAATTTGGCCAAGGGGCAAAATACAGTTTAAAGAGAGTAAAGAAGAGGCTTGAAAATAGAGCTCTGGTGAAAGATCCTACAAGTACAGAGGTGGAATCTGAATCCATCTTAAGCAGAAGATCATTCACCACTTTTGCAAGTGCAGTTTCAGTAAAGTGACAGGCCCTGAAGGTTGCACGAAAGGTTTCAAAAAGATTATCGTTTGATAGGTGGGATGAAAGCTGCTGCTCTTTGTAGTACTTTTGAAAAAAAAAGAAATGTTACTTCTTGTTGATTGGAGACTCTGACTCAAATTGTGTGTGTGTGTTTTTTTTAAGCAGAGGTTGGGTCTAATCTCATTTCACTATAAATAAAGTGAGCTTTTGTGTGAGTTTTTTCACAGTGTCTAAAAGAAACCTGGGATTGTGTTTATTGTTACTGGTTAAGTGAGTCAAATGTGTACCTCCAGCAGCAGACAGGGTATGCCTGTATTTCAGTGTACACTCCTACCGTTGGAGTTAGAACACTTCCAGTTCTGATCCTCACCATTTGTGTTCCAGTTTCCTTCAGGTCTGCTTAAGACCATATATTTTTTCAGTAATCTAGGGTGCAGACCTGTTTGATTGTCTGGTTTTGATAGTGACAGATGGTACAATCTTCAACGGTCTTTCACAACAGCAAAAGGAGCCAGGACCACAGGTAGTCACTCACCAGAGCAGCTAAAGTTGACCAGCATTACAAGGACAGGCTAGTGTCGCTTTACATTTGCCAAGAAAGTGATCTGACACAACTAATATGACTGAAGAAACAGTCAGATCAGCAGCCACTGGGTAGATCAGGTCAGGGGTGTTAAGGCAGTGAGTAGGTGCACGCACCAAAAGCATCAATAAGTGACAGGAAGGAGTTGCTTAGTGTATCACAGGCCTTATTGAAATCACCTATTTTTCAAACCTCATGTAACAAGGT